TTTTTTTTTTTTTTTTTTTTTAGCCAAATTTAAAAAAAAAAAAAAAAAAAAAAGATCAGGCTAAGCAGTTGTGCAGAAGTGTCAGCGAGCTGCACGCTGGTTTGAAAGTGGCCTATTCAGCGAGATCTATAAGTCTGTGCCTGAAACACTGTAGATTTGTTTGACTTCTTCAATCTCACATTGAAGAAGCAGTCTGGAACTCTTTGTCTTTTTAAGTTTCTTACACTACAATGTTTATCATTATGCAGGCATTAATTCTTATTCTGCAGTTAGGAACGTTAAGCTTCTGTGTCATTTTCTCTTTTATGTAAATGTTTCCTATACTTCTAAGGATGGCACTTGTCTAAGAGTGACAAGCATGTCGGGTTTCGTTTTTCCTTCTTCTTTCCCAGTTTGGACTATGCGGTATTACTCGGACATAATGAGAAAGAAATCTTTACATTTCCTTCTTGGCTTCTAAAAGGATGCTTTGATATAACAGCGCAGGGAATTCCTTCCAGACCAAGTGGTAACACAGGCTTCCTTGCATGGCAGCCTTGCCTTAAGCATGCATCGCAGCCCGGAATTGGGCCCTGYAACTGCAGGATTTTGAAGCATCTACGTGCAGCCTGGCTCAGGGCCCCCCTTCTGCAGGGCACCCCCAGGCTGGCAGGCTGCCGGCGGCCGAAGCTCTGTGCCCGGGCGAATGGGCCGCGTTATCCCGGCRACAGCAGGAGGAACGTGCTCTCCAAACGCTCTTTCCGAAACGCGTGCTTTGTCCTCGGTCTGGAGGAGCGCATAGGAGAGGACAGGCTGGTCTGATCACATTTGCATATGTTGCTTGTGGAAGGTAGAAAGTTGCTCTGCCTTGCAGTTTAGTATTTGTATTTCATTTTCATGCCTCTGTTCCATGCCTCCCATTCCCTCCCCTCTCTCAGCCATTTGACTGCCCATGCTTTGCAGCACAATGAAAGACTAATGGTCCCCAGGAAAGCACGTCACCTCTCCAGGGAGCCCTTCTGGAATGCCAGACCTAAGATCAAAAGCACCGACTTCCTAACAGCATTTTTATTCTCCATATTAAGGATGACGAGGGACCTTTCTGTCATCCAAGACGCATTGGCAGTTTGTGACACCCAATGCGTCACCGCTTGGGTCGGTATCCGAGCCGGCCACCTCTGCTCCTTCATCCAGCAGGGCCGGGCCAGGGCAGCCCTTGTGTTCCTGGTGCTTCCCCTCAGCACCACACGGTCAGTTAGCTTCTCGCCAAACTCACCATCTYTCATCCACAGGCACAGAAATGGTCTAATTCTGATTCAGAATCTTTCTCTGATTTCAGAAAAAAAAATAGTTCTTTATAGTGGAAAGGTTAAGCACTAGCTGCACTTGGGAAGGTGTGTCCTTTCATGGCTAATGGAATGATTTTTGTAGAATATTATCTACTAAATACACAAATTACAAAGATTTACGGATTAATACTGCTAAGTGGAAAACACTTGTGTTTTCTTTGCTTGGTATAAATAGATGATTCAGCCTCTATCTATAAAGATAAGTGGCTACTTTGTTCTATTGCCGTGGGTTGAAGTGGAAAGACAATTCCATCCAGCATTTTCACAAGCTCTCTGCTTACTTAGACCACTAACACTTGTATCTCTTTCCTTGAAATTGAACAGGAGCTGTCGGAAAACTGGTTTACCTGGTGTAAAAGTTGTCTTCATTAACAAACAACCATTTTTCTTTTTTTTTCCCAAAAGCTGACCTGTATTATTCCACATGRTAAAAGATCTTTTTCTGCTCACAATTATGTGGACTCATTCCCCTTTACTGGGGTATCATCACAGAACAGTAGAGGTTGCAAGGAACCTTCTAGGTCATCCAGTCCTACCCCCTGCTCAAGCAGGGACACCTAGACCAGGTTGGCCAGGACTGTGTCCATAGGATTTTTAAATATCTTTGGGGATGGCATCTCCACRGCCTCTGTCTGGCAACAGCAACGTTGCTTACAGAGCCCAGCAGTGCTGGGAGGCACCCATGGTAGTTTTCAGGAAACACTGAGGGAACTGGGCTCCCAAATACCAYTGCCTGCCTTGAAGCTGTGGAGCAGCTGAGGGGTTGGACTAGATGATCTCTAGAGGTTCCTTCCAATCTCAGCCGTGCTGTGACTCTGTGAAACTAGARCTTGACTCAATTTTCTCTAGACTGTAGGTCAGTGTTGGAAATAATCCTTACCACATGAGCAGTCAGGTCTGTGCTGTGTTCAGCAATGTAAAATCCTTGGGTAGTCTCTGAAATTTGTAATTTTGGGGGGTAGATAAATTTCTCATATTTCCATGTATCTTTATAGCACTTCTAAGCCTGTTAGAAATGCCTTTCTTGTACATGTAAAGCACATAACAACAAAGGTAACCCTTCCACCCTAGGTGATATTGTTACCCTAGGTGGAAGGGAAAGCACACTGACCAATTTACAATTCTTTGGGCTACAGATGCTGATACCCTCTTCTTATATGATAGGGCTGCAAAGGAGTTTGATATGGGCAAAGGGTAAGTTTTGACAACCAGCGTGATTAGATTACAACTCCACTGCTTATGAGATGTCTTGCTTATTAGATGTCTTACGGAAAGCAAATGCTTATTTGAGAATTCCAAACTCCTTCTGAAGGAAAATCTAGAAGCTCTGTAAAGCTGACAACTAAATTTGAATTGGGCTTTGTACAGGAATAGCTGCTCTGTGTCACTAATTTATTGGAATTGTGATAAACTTAGATGATTGGGGAAGTATGGGTAAGAAAGCAACTTAAAACACTTCTATGATTCCAGGGCTTAGAAGGATCATTATTTGATATATACACCTTTTATTTTCTCCTGTTCCTTTTTAGCGAGAGTTGAGTTCCCTTTTAAGTCCRTTATCTCCCACTGCCTCACTTAAATAGCTGTAAATGAACACTAACAGTATCTATTACTTCTATTACTCTTTTCCTGGACTTTGTTCTTTGCCATGTGTAGCACTTCTGTAGTAACCATGCATCTTCAGTAGTACTATTGATGGTGTTTTTGCAAACTCCTTGTCGGAAAAAAAAAATAATAAAAAAGAAAAAACAATATCTTGATTTTGGACTTCTTTTTTAAACAGAAAAAAAATCTGCCAGAACAGCAGACTCCTGCGCCAGCATCACCACCTCTTTCTACTTCTGATGGGGACAGTAGCACAAAGCAGATGCTTAAAGATGGAATTAGTTTGTCTGGGACAACAGCAGCCGTTATATCCACAGGTAAAAGGAAGAAAAAAAAGGGGGAAAAATCATACTTCTAGTGTGAAACAGCTCCCCTTTCAAGAATGTCATATTGTGGAAAATATACTGCTATGATACTATTGTAAGTCATTATTCCACTACCTGATTATTTAAGGATATTAGTGGATGGTATTTTGATGCTCGCACTATAGAAAGTATTGCTGGGACAGTAGGGCTTTTGGCAGTTCTGCCTACCTGACATTTTGCTCCTGTGTAAAGGACATTTTAGACACTTCTTTCGTGTCTGTCCCACTCTTTAATATATGAGATGGCAATAGATGTAGTAAAAACCCACAGGATATTTTGGTGTCTTGTAGACTATATGTTATATATATATATATATATATATATATATATATATATCAATAGCCTTACGTTAAAAGAAAACAGATTATTCTAGCCCAATGAGGAGAAATAAAATCTGTCTTTTTTGTGATTTTGGTGATTTGTAACTTGGATTATTACTACAAATATTTCCTCCACTTTGTAGATACCAGGGAGTGACAGATCTATGTATGAAGATATAACATCATTAAAATATCTTTTAGAAATCTATCAGTTTTTAAAACCCATTTTTTATTAAAGCTAGGTAATACTACAGTTTAGAAAATATGAGAGCCTTTTATATATCGAACAGTTAGAATGTTTGCTTAATCACCACTGTGGTGCACTTTTTCATTTAGCCATAATAAGTGTTTTGGATGTGTTCCTAGTCTTAGGACGGTCAAAGCCAGAAGGAAGCAGAAAAAGAATCTTGCTTTAGGACAAAAAAATCTTGCATGTTGCATTGCTGTTTCTTTAGCAAGACAGTCTTGTTTAACCTCTATAGTCTATATACAAAGCATTCTCAAAAGTTGTATTTTATTGCTTTTCTGATGAGCTTTAATTTGCATGCGCTGTTTCCAGAGAATTACGCTTCTTTTATTTAGCAGAGACGGCCAAGCTGTAGAGTGGAAGTCCCGTATGCCTTGACTGGTGTGGGATTACTAAAGTTCTGGATATTGACCATTCTGTCTGCACACATTAAGGCTATATGGATGCTTCAGAATGAGCATCCGTGGCAAGTACATGCCGTACGGCTGTTGCAGCTCGCCAATATGAGAAAAATAAAGGCAGCAAGTTGGTAGGGCCTGCCTTGTAGCATCAGGGCTTTGTAGTTCAGAGCACCTGCCAGTAATTCTTCCCTTAGTAGCACTAGTGTGTGAACGGAACTCAGTCAGAAAAGAGATAAGCAGAGTTAGCCCTTTGTGGAAGCACTTTGCTGTGGTGGCTGGATAGAGAAGGGCTTTAGAACATAGGCTGGGTTTGGAGCTAGGTAGGAGAACCTTAGCATAGCACAGGGAACCTGGTTGGCTCGAGAAGTGTGTGTGMTACCTTGGTGTTCAGCTTCCTGACTGGAACACTATGTCTCCTCATCAAGAGTCAACCAAAAACAAATGGCTTGCAGTTCTAACTCATGAAACAAGTTTCAGTTCCTTCACATGCAACTGTGATTTAAGCGGAGAAGCTCAGCGGTAAATACGGCTTGTTCTTTTTCAGTGTGTGTGTATGTCAACAAGCATGGGAACTCTGGGCCTCATCTGGATAAGAAGAAGGTTCAGCAGCTTCCGGATCACTTCGGACCAGGTCCTGTCAATGTGGTACTTCAGCAGGCTGTACAGGCTTGTGTGGATTGCTCCTATCAATCTAAAACAGTCTTTGGATTTCTGAAATCGGGCCATCATGGAGGGGAAATGATAACTGGTATGCAAAGTAGTGTTGTTTTTTTCCCTTTCCTTTGCTTAGTTGTGGAATTGTGGTAAGGCTGGAGAGTTGACAGAGTTGCAGTGGTTTTGTATTCCTTCTGTAACTCTCTAAGCACGGTCAAGAATGCTTTCTTGGGACTTCCTTCACTGAGTATTGATGCTGCTGAATTTATTTCAGCGTAGAGACAGAATGACTTGAACAATTTTTTCTATTAAATATTCAGCTATAGCAATTCAAAGTCACATACACACAGCACTGTTGGATTCTTATTGCTGAGGAGAGCTAGTGCACCTCCTTTAACAGCTGTAGCCTGGCATTTGTCAAGTAAATTCAGGGCAAGTCAAATATCAGCTTTGTTAAGTAAAGTCATTTGCAAAATCTTATCCATACAAAGTGTTTGTGTTCTTAATGCTTTAACCAACTGGGTGAAAAGTTTCAACCTAGTCTGTTTAGTTTCTGGGTAAATGATTCCATATGTTAAAAATTGCTGCTACTTCCCTTTCCCCTTCCCCAGAATACTAGCAGTGTCTTAGGTCGCTGTTCATCCACCCAAGTCCTCCATTATGGAATAGCTTGACTTCTGTTATGAATTAATGACGGGTCTACAGATAAATTATCCCTGTATCTCAAACTGAATAGCTGCTACTTGGCTTTTTTTTTTTCCTTTTTAGGAAATATTCCATATAGCTGTTAGCACGTCAATTCCTAATTGCATCAGTGGCAGTAAAAAGACTTCGTGTTGCGTTAACCTCCTTGCATTAATGCTAGATGTGATAAATAATTAGTGGAATACGAGTTTAATTAAATCTGCATTCCTGTCTAACAATATGTAAGGCACGGCCTCCTTACCTGCACGTACCCGAACACCAGTCATCCTTGCCTATGCTTCTGCATGAGTTTGTTCACCAAGTGGACGTTTCTTCTCTGCTGTAAATGCCTAACTACACCGTGTGGTTTTGAAATCTGTATTATTTTTGCACAATGCATGAAAAAATATTATTAATAATATCCTGCCCTACCTATTTCAGACAAATTACTTGAGCAAACCCCTTTGGAGATGTGCACTGCCAGTGTTCTGTTGGCGATCATTTATCACAAGGGCCTAAATCCTAGGCTGGTGGCCTATCCACCACTGTGACTGACCGAAAGCAACTATTTCACAGAGGAGAYAGATATTTGAAATTTCTTTTTAATTCTGATTTGTTTGATAGATTTAAAAGTTTTATATGAAAATGAATGGCTTTTGCAGCTAACCTCATTACACACCCTGCATTCAGAGAAGTCTGCTCAGTAGCCCGAAATTTGAGAGACTTGGCTACATAGTGTGTTCCTGAAGCTGAGCCTTGGAGACCATCAGGTTTTAGAGAGCTGCAAGACATTTTATCATTTTTTTTTCTGAAATATTTCTAGAGCCACAAAATGTGAATTAGGTTAATGCTGCACATTACAGCCAGCTGTGTGTGTGAACAGTGAGGGAGAAGGGGAAATATAAAACAGAATAAAATGAAGAATTACAGGATAAAGTAGAGCTTTTTCCTTGAAAATGATTTTGGTGCATTTTGAATAACTAAAAAACAGATAGTTGGTATTGTAGCAGAGGATAAGCAAAAGAGTGTCTTGTAGGCTCATGAAATTTGCTATCTGCCATAGGAAGCAACTGTGTGCTGATGAGGACATGGATAAGATCATATTGCAAGAATATGTGTGAATAATTAGAGGATTCTTTTGGTTTAACTGCCAAAGAAAATAATTGTTTTGAATGGAACTGAATTGAGGATTTGTTCATCTTTTCTGACTCAAACAAAAGTACAAACTGTTTTAGTTTTGCATGATGCATAAGGTTCCAATTCAAGCAAATGTAATTGAAAGGAAATTAAAGACTTGATTAACAAGGCCAGTAATGGTGGTGGTGTCAGGCTCTCTTCTCCTTTTAGCTCACAGCTCATAGACTAGGCATTTGGTGGGGTGAAATAGACTGTGGTTCAGATTAATTCTCTGCTTGAGAAGATTTAAATCAGATCCTTGGGTGAATGTCCTCACTATCAGACACAGGCATTTAGTTCAGGTCTGCTCAGCCTTTCTCCTGGCTCAACCCTTCTCTTTAAAACGCACTCACACAATGAAAGGTGAAGAAATAAGGACAGCCCTTCCTCCTAGGGGCTGGCGTGCACGGAACACCTCGTGCCTGTTTATTTGCTGTTAAAAGCTGGGCTGAGTGCACCTCAGAAATACCCCTCTTTCTTTCTGCTTTCCCCTAGCATTTATCTGGGGAATGGGGGGCTTGGGTCCTCTGCAGGCCAGAGCCAGAAGCGCCTATGGATCGGGATCCTCTTCCCTYGGTGGTGGGTGCGGGAGCTGCCCCTGGGGTTACAAGGGAGCTGTGTAGGCACTGGATACTGACGTGTGCATGTTTCCCATAGTATGTAATGCTGGAAAAATCAGATTGCCCCAGTTATTTCTTGCTGTACCCACCTGGAATCTCTAAGATAATATTGTTCTTTTCAGCACTTCTTTTTGAAATGAAAAGTAAGGCAGAGAGAGTAATTCCCCAAGGTCATATGCGAAGCCCCGTCAGGCTATTATAAAGCATTTTACATTTTTGCTGTAGCTGACAGTACTGCCTCACAGTAAATTTGTCAGGAGATTAGGCTGCGTTCGGCCTCGCAACCTGGTTGCTCGCTGTAGCTGGTTGACTTCCAAGGGAAAACATGCCTTCCAAAATCCCTTCTCAATCCCCCTTGCCCAAACAGGAAGTAGGGACTCTGTGTCTGAGCCACATGTGGGGCTGTGAATCATGAGGATTTCATTTGAGCACACTGGAGTCTGGATAAACCAAACAGGCTGCGGGGAAAAAAGTGCTTCCAGGATTTGCCCCTGTCGTACTGCCTTGCAGCTTCAAGCGCTTGCATGGGCCCATTCCAGCAGGGAAGCACAGGAGACGGATCCGCCTTTTTGGAAAACAACCTAGAAAGTTCCTTAATTCACCTTCTGTGAGTAAAGGCCTTCTTATTGCTCCTGGGTTTTAGAAATGCACGTGCTGCCAAAAACATGTTGATCCTTTAAAGCTCTGTTGCTGTTGGGAATCTAGTGTTCGCAGCACAAAGTGGCCTGATAGGCTAAGAAATCAAGAAGAAAAAGTGATATGTAATAGGGAGTTTATGCTGCTGCTTTCTAATTCTAAGCTTTAGCTGCAAGTTAAACTGCTTTGGTGTAATGGCTTTCGAAGCAGAAGTAATTAATACTTTCTCCTAAAGTAATGGTAATAATTTACCTCTTTGCTGGTATTAGCAACATTAAATCTTTCCAAAATCCTGAGAATAATCACTAAAAAAGGTGAAAATGCCCTTGACCGTATCAGTCTGACTTGTGTGGGGGCCGAGGAAGGTGGCCRGCGGCTAAAGGTGCCGGCCTAGGCCCAAGCTCTTTGCAATCCGTCGGCTTGCCAGGCACTGCATGCCTTGGTGTCTGGCGCGGTGCCGTGTCCGCCGCCCGGCTCCCGGGGAAAGGGGTGGGGAACTGAGCAGCAGGATGTCGACAGCAGGGTCCGTTTCTCCAAAGGTAAAATAGCAAGTGGCCAAACACTTTCTGCCACCGGAATTGCAGCAGCAGTAGGTGCCAGCACACCACCACGAGTACGCACAGTTCAATTAGGAACTGCCAAAAAAGGCATCCGAAACGCTTGTTTACTTGCTTGCTTTTAAACAGATACTGTGAAGAGTCCTTTCTGTGTTATGTCCTGCGCTTTTTTGGCAGTGTATGTGTTTTTTATTTTTTTTTCTCCTGTTTTATAAGCTAGTAACAAAATACACATAAGGTTTTGATGATGAGGTAATAGTTACAAGTTTTGCTGTGCTGGTGTAAATCCAAACCTATTTTATTGAAGCAAGTTTCCACAGAGCAAATACAAGCTGGCAGGGACCTACGYTGTTAGAATCAGCCCCTGGATGCCAATTTGCTGCATACCAGCATGAGTGTTTACTCTCCTCTTGTTCCTTGCACAGTGCAAATCAAAGGTGGATGTTTTCGCTCGTGGTTAGTGACGGTGCTTTACTAACCTTCATGATGCTTGGGTGGTGTTTGACATCATCTCGTTATTCGCAGCCTCCTTTGACGGGGAGAAACACGCCATCCATCTTCCCGCCGTAAACAGCGCGTCGTTCGTCCTCCGCTTCCTGGAGAAGCTCTGCCACAGCCTGCAGTGTGATAATCTCTTCAGCAGCCAGCCTTTCAGCCCCTACATGGGATGCGCGCACAGCCCCACGGAATATGATAGGAACAAACCAGGTACTGTCCAACAGCCGGTATTTTGGAGGACCAGTGTGTTTTTGAGCAATGGGTGCTCTCAATTTTGGCTTTGTAATCTTTCTTTAACTTGATTTGATTGAAATGAATCCTTTTCCAGTTCTTAGTGAATTAGTTCCAGCCTGGTCGTGCTTTGATGAATGGGATAGTTTGGACCACATGTGCAGGAATCACTTTGTCCAGCGAACTTTCCTGCAGTCCCATCAGGAGACGTGTATTGTACCACTGGGGTAGTTTTACAAGAACAAGCTCAAAACATCACATTTCATCTTTTCAATTTATGTTCAGATCGTAAAATAAATGCACAAAATGGTGTCTGTCTTTACTTTTGTTCCTTGACTTCCCCCATAAATATTTTTTATGTTAGAATAATAGCTGGTGACTTTCCTCTTCACAGCAAAAGAAGAAATACCTGAAAACAGAGGTGCTAAACGATATTCTCAGGACTCTCCACCGTACACTGCCCCTCTTTCCCCTAAGCTTCCCAGAAATGATGCTCATCCATCTGAAGGTAATTACATTGTGCTTGGACTATATATGAGGATTATTTATGATTTCAGTATTTCTGGTCAGAAAAACAACTACAACTCGTGTCTAGTTTGTCTTGTGGCTGCTAGTGGCAGCCTTTGACATGTCAGGATGAGAGAGTACGTTCATTACTGGTGAGTGGTGCAAATATTACAGAAGATGTACTGCAGGTTCTAGAAGTCTTTCCCTTAGACATGCTGGCCTCTTTTCATAAMGGGGCTCAGGCAGATGGGTGATGGATGAAGCTTCCTCTTCATATATGGTAATTTAGTAAAAAGCCAGTTGCCTTAAAATGAGTTTGAAAATAAAGGAGAAGCAGCTCCTAATAACTCTGGGCTGGGGCCAACAAGCGAGTGCGGGTAGTGCTGCACGGGGCCAAGCTTATGGCTGAGCTAGCTGCCACTGTGGGCTGAGGTGGCCCTGCTTTCCTTGCCTCCTTGGACTTGTGGGGCTCCCACACCTCCTGCCCTGGATTGCCAGCTGGACCGGGGAGCCAAGGGCGCACGGAWCACCTGGAGAAGCAAACAGCCCTTTGCGGGGCAGCCCCCTGGACCGGCTCACCGTGGTGKCAGATGAGCACAGGGAAGGGTTGAGGGAAACAGCCTCTGCTGCCGTGGGCAGCCACGGTTGCATTGCTTCAGCTGCCTGCTGAAGAGCTACTTTCCCTGCAGCAGCTGCGCATGCATCTGCTTCTAGCCCCTCTCAGACGTGAAGCCTGTTTCCTTAAACGTCAGCGGGAGAGACTTGCACAAGTGTGCTCTGCGCTCCCTGCGTGGTTCTTTAAACCCCAGCAGCTTTGCAGGTTCGACTCATCCCGGCTTTCGCTTGTTGTGATTGATACAGCTGCACAGAATTGCCAGGGGCTTTTTTGAAGTGTGACCGTGATTAGCTGTTTATTCCATGATAATGTTTTTGTTTGTTTGTTTTGGAGATCTTCAGGTCTTTTTAGGGGTATTGGCATCTGTGGAGACAGAAGGATTGCTTTCTCTGTGCCAATTAAAACTAGTAGGAYTAGAGTTAGAATGATCATTTTGGGCATTTTAACTGATATCCTCCTCTTTATTTAATTTGGTGTGATTTATTCTTTTATATAAATGTAACTTCTACATATGTAATATGTAAGAGATAATACATAGGAGGAGGCAACAGAAATTAATAGTAAATACATAACTGTTACCTAAACAATATTTAAGTATACAAGACATCTGTTGAATTGTCACATATTTCTGTTGTGTAACTTGATGAAAAAGACTGAGATGGAGTTGCTTGAACTGAAGCAAAGCAATATTTGAGTTAGACCTCCATTATCCTGCAAGAAATCTCTCTCAAAGCAAGCATGCAAACATACACTGGTTTTTAATGCTTATTGAGTCAGTTGGTACTGAATCCCTTTTACAGATTAAATTGCTGCATTCCTTAAAATATATTTGAAATCAGTTCATTATAAAGTGCAGTTATCTGAACTTGAAAGCAAGATAAGTAAGTAAATGCTTCATCATGATTTCAGAGATTTGAGTTTGTACTCTGTGTATTTCAAGAGGCAAAATATTCCCCGGTGCTGTGTGTTTTCCATTAGAGCAATGTCCTCTGCTGGAAATCTGGAGGTAATTTCATAGCGGTCAGTCATGGGTTGGTTAGCAAAAAGATCTATCCTAAAAAAAACCTTCTGGCTCCATTGAGACAGTTATCTTGAAATAGTTGTTTTGAAATACAATTGAAGACAAAACGGCATAATTGTGGSAAAGGGTCTTTCAAACAGCTCACTTTCCTTCTGATCTGCTCAGGGATATGTTTTGCAGGATTTTGCCAGCTTTTCTACTCTGTAACAATTTCCTCTTGAAGCTGTGAAAAAGAAAGGTGGCGAGGGGGTTAATAATCTCCTCATGGAAACAAAGTGCTCTTCCCACCGCAGCCGGTTATGTCACCCGGTTACGTGAGAAGCAGAACTTGGGCCTTCCGAGTCCCCGAGGAGCTTGCAGAAGCTTGAAAGCCTCTGCAGGATGTGGATGTCTCGTGCTAAAGAGCCTGCTGCCTTTTTACATTTAAACTATAAGGTCTTTTATAGGGCTTTTATTAATTTGCCCAGAGATCAGGTATTCTGCAATGGAGCCTCCAGAGAGGCACAAGCACCCCTGTTCTCTTCCCATACAGTGGTGGTTCACAACTGCTCAGAATGCCGAGGCAGAAAAATGTCATTCACTGCCCTGTGGACTGSCAAGCTCTGCCAGACACCAGTGTTGGGTCTGCAGTCACATCACGTGGGCATTTTTTTCAATAAGATTGCAGCTTTTTCTTGTTACTTTTTGTGGGCAGGGGAGTAGATGGGACTGTCTAGTTGTTGGACAGAAACTCCTCTACAAGCTGTGGTGGCCCGGCCAGCTTTCCCGTATTGTGTATGTGAACTGAGGACTGACATTAAGATTAATTTGAATACTAGCATCTTAGAAAACAAACAAACAAACAAAAAAAAAACCCTGATTCCAGTCCTTTTCAATACTGATAAGTGTAAGATATATAACATCGGAGAGAAATCTAGGATAGGATTAGAATAAACTCAATTAGATTCTTRTGTAATATAGACAGATTTGAAAATCTTAAAAAGATCAAGTAAAACAACTATTTAAAAGTCTGTCTTCTCCTCTTAGGGCTATCTGGTTGATTGCTTTAAAAAGATTCATTTTTAAGACATTGATGTTGGCTGAAACATGCTTGAATATTCTAGTGGGAACTTCCCGTTGGGCAGTACTGTGTCCATTAATTCATTCTGCACTCCAAGCCTCCTGAGCTTTGTCCAGCTTGGTACTTGTCCATTTAAAGTCTCACCTCTGCTTTTTGGTCTTCTGCACTACTGCAGAATGATTGCTTTGTTTGCATTTCAGCAAGTTGCTGCTGCTACTGCAAGCTGACAAGTGTGAAGAGGTTTAATGTTTTCTTTGAAAACCTCAGTAGCCACTTTACTTCTTTGCTTCAGATCTGATAAACCAAGAGGTGGTTGTTTTGACTCTTACTATAAAACAAAATGTTCCAATATTTTGGGGGCAAAATAGGGCTCTCCTGAGAAGAGAAATAGCAAATACTGTTTTAGCTCTTAAATTCTTTGTCCCTCCGTGTAGCTTTTAGGGTGTTAGGTAGAATACTGAATCAAAGAAGGGCTTGTGTTCTTAAAAGCTGCCTTACTGCACAGCTGTCTAGTCTAATGAAGGATATTACATCTTCTTGAAGTTCTGCCTTACTGAGTTCACTAAGGGGATGTTTCTCTGAATGTCTTTATTTCCCTTCAGGATTATGTTGTCTGAAGACCATTACTGCAAAATACATTTAACAATTCCTCGCTAAACTCATAAAGCAAGTTAAAGAAGTGCTTGAGAAGCTCACAAGCATTTTTAGGAAAATACTCTTCCTTAAGTTTTATTCACAGTATTTGCCCCTCAAATAATTCAAAGTTGCAACACAAGAAGGAGAGTAAAACTTATTTCACAACCTGATTTCAGAGGGTGTCGCAGTTCTTATCCAGAAGAGCAGGTTGTGTCACTCGTGTGTGTSTTATAACTTTCCTGAAGTAATTTTCAAGATACAAACATGGACTTTGCACYTCTGTGGACCTGGTAGCTACATTTTCCAGCTCTTCATTCTGGCAGCAAAGAAACATTTATTTCTTTTAGATTCGTACCTGGTGCTTCCAGCTTCTTTCTCATACTGGATCCTGGGCTAGTGCGATGGAGAAGAATGTATGGAAGTGTTAGGGACCACAGGGGTATTCACTGATTCACCCCTTCGTCCCCATGTAGGCTGTTGCTCCCCATCAGGCTTGAACTGGGGTAGGGTAAGAATGGCAACTTTTAGTAATCAAATCGACCCAACTGCTGTCCTGGGGCAGAGAGAAAGGAAGCGACTGGGCTCCCTTCAGCTGGTTGAGGAGTAGTTTTAACAGAACTTCTAAGTTAGTTTGTGTTTTCAAGAGTAGAAAATAGCAGATAACTGATCAAAATGAACCAGAGGAATGTGTTTTTACTCCTTTCCTGAGGAAAGTTTCAGCTTTTTAACTTTTTTCATTTTTTATTTAACTTGCACAGTGGATTCACTTGTATACGTTTATCTTTAGTTTAGCTTAGCCCAAACCTGTCTGCATAGATGTTGGGTTATACTCTCAGCAAAACACTAACTGKGTGTAGGTACAGCATTGTGGTCAGGATGTGTTGGTGTTAGTTTCCCTGTATCTGGGATTGAGAACTCTGTGCAGCTTTTGTATGTAACCTCTTCTGTTTTGAGTGGCAGCCACTGTGTCTGAATGTGTTGTSATCTATGAAGGACAACCAACCACTTGTTTTGCTTTTGAAATTAATGGTTTCCACTATTGTTCAGAACAAATTGAAGAACTGGTAGCACGAGAACTTTTGTTAGAAACCTATTGCAAGGTAAACACAATCGTGGTGATTAATTATCTCACTGATGATTTTGAGAACCCCTTTAAAAAAGGTTGATGAGGATGCTGACCAAGCTTGCCTATGTGTCACATTAGCATCGGACAGTTCTGCAAAGCAGATTTTACTGTGTTCCTTTCCTGGTTGTCTTGCAAACACAACCGGAACGATTTATGAAAGTCTGTCTCAAATTTGACCTCCTTTTTTTATTGTAAATATACCGAGAACTCAGTGATTGCTTGAAGAGAAGGGCAGAGACTCTGTAGTTGTGCTTGCTTCACAGCTTTGCTGACAGGCTTGRAATCTGCTCTTAGCTGGAAGAGAGCACGGGGTGGAATTAAACAACGAGGTTATCGCCACGTCCGGCACTTCTAGCACATCGCTGTTTGTCTTTCTGTAGCAGAGACGTTGCCCGTAGAAGAAAACAGCACTTCCAAAGACCACCGCTTTTCCGAGGACTCCATGGATTCCGCCCTGAACTCGGTAAACGCGTCGAGCCCGGCGCGCCGCAGCTCCGCCGAGTACCGCGCGGCGGGCAGCGCCCTCTGCTACCGGAGCTCCCTCCCGCCGGCCGCTGCCACCTCCAGCTCGGCCCCCGGCCTCCGCCGGCTCTCCTTGGGCTCTGCTGGGAACAGCAGCTACTACCAAGTTAGCAGGAGCCGCGTCCAGAGGCGGATCGAAGGTATGCTGCATGCCTGAACTTCCCTGAGAGTGTAGCTGCTTCCGTAAACGCACAAACTCCAAGAGTTGACACATAAACAAGTACTTTGCCACGGAGCAGCCTGCGTATGGAGTGAAATGCTGCGCCGATTCCAAACGCGGCCAGCCTGCTAGCCCAGCGTCCAGTATGGAATTTAAGCTTATTAAAGCTAATACTGCTGTGGAAGCCAGGGGGATTTTGCCTGCTGCACTTTCCTCTCCCTGCTATTCTGGCCCTGCCACAGACCTGGGGCCTGGGGAGTGATAGTTTTATGCAGGTCTCATTTTGAGTATCTTATCCGCCCTTATTGTGTTACTGAAACACAGGGATAGGGTTTCTTCCTGTCCCTCCCTCTGCCTGCACAGCTTAATGTGCCTTCCCCACATTCCCCATCACTGGYATCCTGGGACCCGGGAACCAAGTATCAAACTAATCCCTCTACGTGTGACATAATGCTAATGCTGCTAAAAATAGGAGCAGTTACATAAGGCGCATAAATACAACCGAAACTGTTTGATGTTGCTTGGAAGAAAATAAAAACATCTTTCATTTTAATATATTGTCAAAGAGTGAACAAAATAAGTCTGGTGTTAGTATTAAGACTGTCTTTTTGTAAAATGAAATGTATTATCCCTGTATAGACTAGTGATACTTCTTCCTTTCACAAAATTTTTATATTATCAGCTGCAAGTTCCACAACTGGACCAGATCTGAATGCACTAAAAAGGGAACCTTCAAGAATATTGAATAAGGATCCTTCCACCTGGTCAATAGAGGAAGTCATGCGCTTCGTGAAAGAGGCTGATCCACAGGCACTAGCTCCACATGCAGAACTCTTTAGGAGACATGTATGATGCATCTCCATTCTTTCTTACAGATTTTACATATCACACTAATTGTTAAAGTACCCCTTTTGTGTCTASCTCTGTGTTTGCAATTAAAGGTAGGGCAGACTCTACCCACTTGTATGTTAGACAGAGGCTGAAAAACATTTTTTTTTGTCCAGAACTCCTACTGTGGTATGTGTTTTCTGTGTTTAACCTTTGTTAGACTGAAATAAATTGCTGCTGCTTTCCAGTTTATATAGAGAAAAACTGGAATTCCCTATTTTTATGGCCCAGTAGCTCTGGAGAAGACACAATGCAGTATATGCAGTAGGGGCCACATAGTCCATGTAGATGTCTGCTCTCTAAGACAGTCTCTTTGTAAACTGATTATCCCRGAACCACACAAACTGTTGGGCCTTGTGAGCTTTGCATTTGATCATTAACTGTAAAATTCAGAGGATCGGTTAAAAAATATCTGTTTTAACAGTATGCAGCATCTCATGATCCTGTATTTAGAGAAACTGTGTGTCTGCTTTTGGTTTTAGTTTCTCCTCTTCCTTCCCACTGTGCTTCTCTGCAGACTGCTCAGCTTTCTTATTTCGTCAGAGATGATGAAATTAACCCTCCCCAAAAGAGATTGGCTTCTCCTTAGCAGATCCTGTCRCCAAACTCTCTATTGATTTGTGTCTTGTATATGTATTTTTGCATGAGGTCAAAGGCATTTATTTCATCCTTGTTCTGCACCAGCTTTTACTAACGACTACATTTCAGAGTATGCTATATTTATGTTGAACTTTTTTTTCCTTCAGGTTTTAACAGGACTTTTTGTCTGATGTCTTAGTTGTATAACAAGACTAAATATCACCTGTTTTGTTAGATCTATGTTTTGTTTTGTTTGTTTTTCCTTTGTGCTGTTTTAGGGAACTTAACTGCTTGTCTGCAGCACATAGTGCTGCCAAGAGCTTAGGATGGTCACATTTCATCAGCTTCTCAGCAAGGCCGTTGAAATTTGACCAAGTTGTCCTCGATCTTGATCCTAACAATGTCTGGGTTAACCTGAGCCTAGATCTGTCTTGTTTCACAGATTTAGCTGGTCAGTAACCCCTGCCTCCGTGTGACTGTTTGCATGAGCCTCCCACAGCTGTGCTCAAGGTTCACTGCAAGGCCTCCCTGCTTGGATCATTTAATCTCTGACTGCACAGACCTTCTTTTTCAGCTTTTTTTCCTTGACCCATTCACCTTTTGTTTCACTTGGTACATAATTCCAAGGGCTATTTGGTCTTTTTTTTTTTTTTTTAATTAG